TCTTATTGTTGTTTAGATTTTCAACGCTATCCTTATTTTATGAAAGAAATTAATGTCAGCGGTATATTTTGGCCATAAATACCCGCGTTACATTTCTCTTGTTTTTTTGTGTCTTCCCTGTCTGTTGTTAAAATATTGCTGTTTTTGTTGATGATGTTGGTACATTTTCCTTCCCCTGCTCTTCCTCTCCCCTTTTATGCTCAACCTTTCTCATTTTCATTTTTTTTCTTTTTTGTTTTTTTCATTGTTTCCTTATGTGCCTCAGTGTTAGCCTGCTGTTCCAGTGTCACTTTGCTCTCTGCTCGTTCTTTCTTTTTTTCCATTCTCACATCTCTTTCCCCTTCCCTTTTCATTCCCTCTCTCTCTCTTTTCTCCTTCCTCTTTCTCCTCTTCTCTGCTCCTTTTCCTTCTTCTCTCTTCTCCTTCTTCCTCCCTATCCTCCTTCTTCCTCGCTCCTCTACACCTAACTTAAACTAACTCAAACCAACTCAAACTAAAACTCTAACTCTAACTCTAACTCTAATACTTAACTCTAACCTAAACTCTAACTCTAACTCTAACTCTAAACTCTAAATCTACTCTAACCTAACGCTAACTCTAACTCTAACTCTAACTCTCACTTCCACTCTCACTCTCACTCACCTCACCTCACTCTCATCTCACTCTCTCACTCTCACTTCACTCTCTCTTCACTTGTCTCTCTCTCTCTCGTCTCTCTCTCTCTCTCTCTCATTTCTCTCCTCTCTCTCTCTCTCTCTCTCTCTCTCTCTCTCTCTCTCTCCTCTCTCTCTCTCTCTCTCTCTCTTCCCTCTCTCTCTCTCTCTCTCTCTCCTCTCTCTCTCTCTCCCTCTCTCCTCCTCTCCTCTCTCTCTCTCTTCTCTCTCTCTCTCTTCTCTCTCTCTCTCCTCTCTCTCTCTCTCTCTCCTCTTCTCTTCTCTTGCTCTCTCTCCTCTCTCTTCTCTCTCTCTCTCTCTCTTCTCATCCCCTCTATCTCTCCGCCTCTTCAACTCCCTCTTCCTCTCCCTCTCTTCTCTCCCTCTTTCATCCTTCCTCCTTCTCTCTCTCCCACGCCTCGTCTCTCTCCCTATCTCTCATCCCCCTCCTCTCTCTCCCTTTCCTCTCCTCTCTCTTCTCTCATCCTCTCTATCCTCTCTTCATCCCTCCCTCCCTCCTCTAAACGCACTACCGACCTCGCTCTCTCGCGCACATTCCCAACTCTTTGCAGAAATGGGACTCCATTTCACGATCCGGAAACGATAGAACCTTTGTCTCTTAGGGGAATCGAAGTCGGGCACGTGACTTCTAGTATTGGAGGGAGGGAGGGAAGAGAAGGGGAAGGGAAAGGGAAGGGGAGGAAGGAGAAAAGGGAAGAAGGGAAATAAGGAAAATGGGAAGGAAGGGGAAGGGAGAGGAAGGGGAGGAGAAGGAATGAAGGGAAAGGGAAGGGGACGGAGGAAAGTGAGAGGAAGTGAGGTAGGTGAAGGAGCAGGAAAAGAATGAGAAGAAGAGAGGGAGAAGGAGGGAAGAGATAAGGATAGAGAATAGATGGAAATTGGAAAGAAAGAAGAAAAGAAGAAAAGGAGGGAAAGAGGAAAAGAAAGTGAAAAAGGATGTGGAGAAAGGAAGTGAGATAACAAATTGAATACATTAATGAAGCGGAAAGAAGAGATGGGAACGAGAACGGAGAAAATGAAGATAAGGATTAAATGAAAAGGAGGAAAGGAAAGGTGAGGGGGCTGATCCAGGAAGTATTATATGAGGCGGGGGAGGAGGCAAAAGGGCAAGCAGAGGTGGTAAATAAGGGGCGAGGCTTCAGGAGAGCAATCACCCCCCCCCAGCGACCTCTCCAAATACTTCCCGTCGCCTCCCCGGGGGTCGTTAGGGTGAAGGCGGCGCTGTTGCTTAGGGAGGAGATAATGAAGGCTCTTATCGCTGTTCTTTCTTGACGTCGCGATAAAGGATTAAATTTGGAGGTGAGGCGGTCCTCAAGGATAGAGTCGATCAAAAGAGATAGGAAGAGATTGAGTGAGTGGAGTGAGTGAGTGATGAGTGAGTGCAGTGAGTGAGAAGATGATGAGTGGTGATTGAGTGAGTGAGTGAGTGAGTGCAGTGATGTGAGTGAGTGAGTGAGTGAGTGAAGTGAGTGTGTGAGTGAGTGAGTGAGTGATGAGTGAGATGAGTGTAGTGGAGTGAGTGAGTGCAGTGAGTGAGTGAAGTGAGTGATGATGAGGTATTGAGTGAGTGCAGTGTAGTGAGTGATTGATTGAGTGAGTGATGACGAATGAGATGAGAAGTGAAGTTGAGAAGTGAGAGTGAGAGAGAGAAGGAGAGAGGAGAGAGGAGAGAGAGAGGAGAGAGGGGAGAGTGGTGTGTGTGTTGTGTGTGTGTGGTGTGTGTGTGTTGTGTGTGCGTGTTGTGTGTTGTGTGTTTGCATGTATACATGCTGTATAACTGTGATATAGGTTACATAGTATTATTGCATGCTGTGTGCAACTGCGTA